GCACTGTAATTTGGTCAAATGAGTGAAGCTTTTGCTTATTAGTTCAAATGGCCATTTCATTTGGGAATTAGATATTTTATGAAATCTTCTAGATACTTAGCCCCATTAGTATAAATATGGTCATGATTTTTGACAACTACCTGATTATTTTATTATTTATTATTTATTATTATTGCCAGCCAAGCTACGCGGTAATTCCTGCATTGCAGTCAAGTGACTTGAATCAACAATTTCTCTCTGAGATGTTGTTCTGGTGGCATTAATATTTAGTTGTGTCCTTTGAGAAGCGGCCTCCTCAAAGCAGGTCCTGTATTTCAATATGGCACTTCAGGGTAGCATCTGTAGCCCTTTCCACATCCTTTCAGCAATCAATGCTGTTTCAGTGTCAGCATTGGCATAGTCAACTCATCCCTGTGCAAATGAGGTCAGCAGGACAGGTAATTTAAAGATGACATTATTGCAAATCTTTAAACTCAGTTGTCTGTGTTTAAGCTGGAAAGGTGGACAAGACAGTTGCTTTTAAAGTCTGGAAAGCTCTTTTTCTATCCAGGGTCTACTAAAGTCAATGGGAAGGATTCCAGTGACTACAAATATGAGACCTGATCTTGACCCTGGTGATGGATATCTATATAAAGATACATGATGCATAAACCAGTAGCTCTGGATACGTTTAGCATCCCTGTTCATTAAGCTTTCATTCATTTTCAGCCATTCCACTGAATTCTGTCTATGGGTTTAGTTAGTGAGCCCTTCGTCAGAGGTTTATTTACAAACTGTTCACGATGTTTGGGCAGATGCTTCCCTTACAGAGAGAATATTTTCAAGCTGTTGTTTTCACAGAACAAGCAAGAAAAGTGGAGGGAGAAAATCTCTCTGACTGGTTTTAGTCTACAGTTTATAGCTTATTGTATCCCGTTTTACAGCTAAGCAAACGAGCTCCGGATCTAGCTGTAACAAGGCATTCATGTTCTAAGAGCAGGATTTCAAAAGGATCCTAAAGAAGTTAGATACCATCCCCTTTGATGTAAGTCAACTAAAACATCAATGAGTCCCATTGAAGAGTATAAAAATGCATCAGGGAAAATAAGAGGAACAAAGGACAAGGGAGGCGATTAAAGTGTGTGTTTCAGAGAAAGGATAACGGGAGAGAAAGACATAAACAGAGAATCAGGCATACAAAATGACAGTGAGGAGGGTTGCAATCTCTCCTTTTTTTTTTCATGGCTAATGTGTCTTGAGAACCTCCATCTACTGCTTAGCATCTTGTGAGTACCCACTCATCTGTCAGTGTCTCTTTCCTTGCTTGCAGCCTCATTATAGCTAGCAATCCTAGCCTGCAGTTTATCAACAAGGATCAAACTGAACCATTTTCCTCTTGTGTCCAGTCAGAATCTCCCCAGGAGTAACTTATACCCATTACCTCACGTCTTTTCCATGTGACTCCTTGTGAAAAGGGAGTCTCCACCTTCTCGGTAGCCACTCTTCAGTACTGGAACATGGCATTAAGGTCTCCCCTAAGCCTTCTTTTCTCCAGGCTGAACAAAGCCAGTTCTCTCAGCCTTTCCTCATACAGCAGGCTTCCCAGTCCTTTGATCATCTTTGTGGCCCTTCTCTGGACCCTCTCCAGCCTGTCTGCACCTTTTTTGTATAGTGGGGACCAGGATTGAACACAGTATACCAGGTGTCACCTGGCAAGTGCCGAGTAGAGCGGGATGATGACCATCCCTGCTGGTGATGCCTTTGTGGATGCATCCCAGCGTCCTGTTGGCTTTCTTTGCCACAGCAGCACAATGTTCACTCAGGTTGAGCTTGCTGTTCACCAAGACCCCCAGGTCCAATTCCACAGAGCTTCTCCCCAGCCTATGGTTAGATCCCAGCCTTTGCTGCAGGCCTGGATTATGTTCTACCAGTTGCAAGCCTTTACATTTGTCTTTGTTGAACTTCATAAGGTTCTTGCTTATCCCGGTCTTCCTGTGGGGTGGCTCAGTTGTGTCCCTTTCTATGGACAAATGCCTCCTAGATTTAAGATGAGGAAATGGTGAAAACAAGAACTCAGAACAAAGAGTGAGAGGGGCATTTTGTTTTCCAAAGTTTCGCTTCTATGTTCTGAACAGATGGCTGACAATGACCCAAGACCTTAGAAAATTGAATCAATGAAAGAAACATGTTCAGATTTAATTACATGTAATTGCACAAGGCACAGAAAGGGTAAAACTAAGCCACAAGCCTCAGTTTATTGAGTCAATATATATGGCAGGAGCACAGGAAAAAAATCACCCTTGTTCAGTTTTATGAAGTTTGCATTACAAAACCTTGTACTGCCTAAATAAACCAAAATGCTGATTTATTTCCGTTTTTTATTTCATAGTTCAGCAATTTCAGATTTTTCTTCCAAAAATGCTGAGATGCAGGGACTCGAGATGTGGGAAGAGCAATTGCCAGTGAAAACTGAGACAAAGATGTTGTTGAGTTCCTCAGCCCACTCCATGTCAGTTGCCACCAGATCCCCTGTTTCATTTACTGGGGAGTAAAATTCCTTTTGTCTTCCTTTCTGACTAATGTGCCCATTATCAGAAGTTCATCCATTTCTGTTAAGATACGAGTCCCTATCATTTTACCTAGAGATGCCCCTGGTTGGAGAATATGCTTAATCTATACACCCAAAAATGAATTCTAATGGAAATTAAGAACCAGCAATGTAACTTGCATTTGAGACATGTTGTTATACACCCTCTGCCCATCTGCAAAGCTCTTTTAATTGACAGCCTTTAAATGTTTTAAATCCATCAGTCTAGCAAGTAAGTTTCCTCTGCTTTGGTTTATGTCATTCACATTTTTAGGCTGCTTGAGGGTGGATAAGCACAGTCCATAGATGCTGTACTGCATTCTCTAACTTTCCACATCAGCATGTGCATGCACTGAAAACAGCCTCTGATTACAAGATTTTTCTTGAATGTTTTTCCTTCACTAACTATAAGATTACATATAAAAATATAACATGAAGTTACACAAGTGATACTTCAATGTCAGAGTGAATAATTTTCTTCAATAAGTACAAATTTCATTTTAAGTCTCCCAGGCTGTGATGCAGATTTCTGTTTAAAGCCATGCATAAAGCTACACTATGCAAGCGCAGAACTTCTACTTGAAATATCCGGAAGACCAAGATCTTGCAAACAAAGAGGCTTTCTTGCAGAGGTTTTGAAAATCCTGGATGGGGTTGTACTCAAGATGCCCATGAGCAACAGCAGCAGCGTCATCAGTTGCCTCTGAAAAAGATGAGAAGTCTACTAAAGGGTTCTCCGTTTGTAGTCTTGTAGACAGGCAGCATTTGAGAGGTAATTCAAGTGTAATAGTAAAGAAATCTGAGGCAGGTCATGAAAGGACAAAATAAAGGAGAATTACATGCACACCCCTGAAAATAGACTTGAATACAACATACAACTTAAGTCCTGAAGAGATTTTACTCAAATTCCTAATTTGCCTGAGTTTATTGACAGAACTGCAGAAGCTAGAAGACATAATAAAATGAAACATCTTCATTTCTTTAATGGGAAGCCTTGGCTCATACAGATTTTCTGTCCTCTAAAGTGCAAAAGGCCAAATAGGCTAAATTCATGGCTTGTGAAAGGCAGTGCATTTAAGAAATGAAATTATTTTATTCAGCATAGAACAGAGAGTACAGCAATAAAATACGCTTTTAATTTTTTCTTTTAGAAATAGCCGGTTTTGCAGAAAAAAAAAATCAGATATTACACTTGTATAATACATTTGGTTAGAAAGAACATTCTCTGTAAAAAGTTCATTCCTTCTAGTTTTCATAAAAATGCATCTAATTCTGACATAACCTTGTGAATATCTATTGGGTCATGTACAAAAATATTTCCCACTATCAGTATTGTTGGTAATGATCATGAAGTGGTGCTTCTGCCACAATTTAATAGCCATGCTGAGTAAGATTTTTTAAGACTGCTTTTCTGTAAGACTGTTTTGCTGTTAATTCAAGCTAGCAAGAAACCACAGCTCACTGAGACCATAATTGGACGTGCAAGATCTTTCAGAACAGTTAAAAGGGTGCTACTGCTGTTTTCTTTTATATGTAAGAAAAATTAAATTGAACTCTTGGTTGTCTTTACTTCTGTCTAGTACCCTTCCTTGTGAATGCTATTATTGCTAATCCTTTTTCTGGTAACCATTCCATCTGATGTTTTGCCACCATAATAAAATTTAAAGCCCCAAATTACAAAAACTAAGTATCAGTAACAAGGTCAAAATAGTATTTCTTCATTTCAAAATCATCTATGTATTAATACTCAACTTCCTCTTTAATAATAAATGTCAGTGATGTAGTCTGTTCAGGGTGACTTGAAGGAATGTCCAGTAGAGCCTAATGTAAAATTTCAAAACATGTTTTGAATTATCTACTATGAATTGAGCACTATAGTACTTGCTAAGGATCCATTTCTTTTTCAGCCATAGAATCTCACATATGTCATTACCACTGCATTAGTAGTTCATTGTAAAAAGTAATTGCCCCTCAAAAGAAATTTGAAAAAGTGGACGTTGCACCACTTTTATCAATATGTATATTTCTTTATAAAAACTGTGGAAATGGGAAACCTGCTGAAGTAAAAAAAAAAAAAAAAAGTCATTGTTTCATGGTCTGTTCATGTCTCTTCTGAGACCTGATGAACTGCTTTTTCCAATATTATTCAAATTATTAGTGGAAATAAAAATCCTCTTCAAGGATATAGTTCATTCTGGTTAAATGTTACATGCCAAACCCATTTACTTTCCATCACACGCTGTAGAAACTTTTCACAATGGCTTCCTTGGCAATACTTTAACTCCTACTCAAATCAAAAGGAACTGAATGTGCTTATAAATTCTCACAGGTGGCTAAGCAGTGCATATTTCAAGCAAATACAACTCTTCTATTTAGGAAGTATAAGTGAACTTGTTTACAACATAAGCTGGGTTCCCTTTGCTTGGCGTTTCAGCTGCTACGGAGGTTTCCTTTTCATTTGATGTTGGAAATGGGCCGGTGGAAATCATCGTTAGATCTCCCAACCAGCTCAATGATGACCAGTGGCATCGGGTCAACGCTGAGAGGAATGTCAAACAGGCCAGCCTGCAGGTAGACCAGTTACCCCTGGAGGTCCGAAAAGCGCCAACAGAAGGACACACACGGCTGGAATTGTACAGCCAGCTCTATGTTGGTAAGATGGAGAGCAGGTGACCAGGCTTTGCTGTCACACGCTGAACACTCTTTGCTTTGTGTCTTGCCAGCAGCAGTTAGTTGATGTGGAAAGTTGTGCTCCCAAAGTACTTGCCTGACAGCACGTGGGTGGGGGCAGAAGAAAGGACAAGCATGTCCATAGTTACAGAAATAAGAAGAATAAGAATTTTTTTTGTTTATCCACCTGCAACTCCTGGTTGAAAGTGCCTCTAGCAGGCAGTAGTGCCAGAGTCCTTTTCTGCCATGTGTCTCTCGCACATACACAGTTATTCAATACAGAAGTAGAAAATTCTACATAGCTCTTCCAGGACTGCATGTACCTGCAGTGCCCACTCTAGCCTCAGCAGCACTTCCACCCTCTTTAGGTCTGATCCTTGCCCATGCTTGCATTCACAGCTCTGTCTGCCACCTTTTCCCTTGAATTTCATGGGCTGTTTGCCCATTCAATGTAGGAAGGCATCACAGAGTGTTACACAAATGCATTCCCTGGAACCAAGTTAGTCCAGCTTCTTTCTGGAGCTGCTGGTCTCCACTACATTTTGGGTAGTCTATTCCAACAGCACTTGTTTTTCTCTTACTGTTAGCCCTGGACTGCAAAGTGCAGATGTGCTATTAGCTGGAATCAGAACTCCATGAAATGTTGAGCAAAGAAGCACTTTGTTACCTCTCAAGATACCTGTTAACAGGAGAAGAGGGAAGGGACAAAGAAAAAAAATATAACAATATTTTTTTCCCTGCTAGACAGGATTCAACAGCAGAAATTAATTAAAATTATATTTAAAGCTTTCACTGCCTTACCAAGCAGTACAGTGTCACTACAAACCATGTAGAATGTGGCACCATTTGTGCAGTTATTATTTACAAGCTCACATTCTCCTTTACTGCTAACTGTGATCCCAATAAAAGGCAGCTTCAAATTAAACTGAAATGTGAAGTTTGTTTAAAAGAAGCAACCTTAACCTTTTAAATACCAAGCTTTTTGCTGAATCAGGAAGAGATGGATTTTTTCCCAGTTCGAGTTTGCGGAGAATTGTTGGTAGTTTTGAATTAAACAGCAATGTTGTGAGATACCTAGTACCTTCTTTGTCAAAAACTGCATGTCCGGATCTGCAATTCTTTCTGAATCATATCCATTTTTTATAATTTGATTATTGGAGCACAGATCTCAAAGAACAGATTTAAATCTTGACCAAGAGTCAGATAGAGAATTGAGGTGAATTGGAGTGTCCCAAATGAGCACCCCGAACTTTGGGTTCTGGAGGCTAATACTGAACATTGTTTCAGTGCCCCCTTTTCCACTTTCTGTAGAATAAGTATCTATTACTTGGGCGAGCAAGAGAGCCTGAGAGATGATGACTTGGTGTCCTAGGTGCTAGGACAGTGACCAGGAGGGGAAAGAATGGAATTAGATGCATTAGGGTTTTTTGTCACTGCAGTGTATGAGTTTATATAGACTGGAACCACAATGGAATGCCCTTGGCCCTGTGCACTGAGCAGAGACAGAGCATTGCCTTGTCTCATTCCAAGTCAGCCAGTTACCAGAGCTGATTTGAAGCAGCCCTCAGTCTTTGGTTTGTATTTAGTCCTCTTCCCCTCTCAGATAAATATCAGCCTCTGTGCTCTGTGGTGATGAGTGTTCAGATCTCCTCAGGGAGCCTTCGGCACCTGAGGCACTGCAGCAATCAAAGGCATGAGAAGATGAGGAGAAAGGATGACAGCTACTCATTATAGTTATTTGCTTGCATTTGGGGTTGGTTTTGTTTGTTTGTTTGTTTTCTTTCTAATCCATCTGCAAACAAGACTTTCGTAGTTAAAATCACATTTTTCAGCAAGTGTTTGCTAGGGGGGGAAAAATGTAACAGGTTTTACTGACTGCTAAGAAAAGCCATCTCAACTCAGATGATCAAAAGTAATTCTTCAGTGTTACATCCTTCACCCTACACTCAGGCAACTAAACAGCATACCCTATATATACAGTATATGCTTGGAAATAAAAATCTATAATTCCTATTGCAACTGAGAGTGGGGATTTAAATCTTTTCCTTCCTTCCCCATTGTGGCTTTGAAAAATGTAACAGTGCATAACATATTATGGCACTATTATTAGCATCCATCATCACTAGCCATATGGAGAGTAAGGCTATACCTTAGCAATCATTCCAAGCCCACTTCTTCCACTGTTATCTCTAAAAATTTTGAAGTTGAAATGAAATAAAGTCTTACACTGAAGGGCTAGAATCTCTAATGCCTCATCACTGAAAAGCAAACAGACCTACTGTTTATGCTTACTTATGATATGGTCCCAAAAATTATTCTTAATTGATTTAAGGACAAGGCACTTCCTTGCCTTTACAAAGATACTACTTACTGCCATCTGCTGTCACAAGCTGAGCAGGTTCTTTCATGTGGAATTACAACAGTTCTGTGTTGTCTCACAGTTTATTTTCCCCCTCAGGTGCTGCAGGAGGCCAGCGAGGTTTCCTAGGTTGCATTCGTTCATTAAGGATGAACGGGGTGACCCTAGACCTGGAAGACAGAGCGAAAGTCACGCCAGGGGTGAAGCCTGGCTGCTCAGGCCATTGCACCAGCTATGGGATGTACTGTGCAAACGGTGGGAAATGTGTGGAGAAATACAATGGCTACTCCTGTGACTGCTCCAGAACTGCCTATGATGGACCATTTTGCATTAAAGGTAAATGCTTCAGTGCAGGAGGCAGAGTATGGAAGAACTGTCTGCCTAAGAAAAAACACAATAGAATTAATGCTACAGCTTTTATTAATTACACAAGTAAATCCTGGTCAATACTTCTTACAAAGAAGTCAAATAATACTTCCAGGATCTGAATGTGATGATTTAAAATCACATCTCTCATTAGTACGAATACATGTTACCTATTTAAATCAAGTAACACAACAAAAAAATGCGTCAGGAATG